CAAAAATTTCTTGCTATATGGTATTGTGTACTGAGAATTACTGACCTGATGAAATCCTGTAATAATGTATTTCATTACATCTACCACTAGCTGAATACTGAGCATCAGGTTGCTTTGGAGTATTGATGGAATATGATCCACTTCCTCCAATTAATATAAGATAGTCTTCACCGCCAAAATGAGCTGATACCATTCCACAGTAGTACTTCATCATTGGATGGTGATCAGGACTAGGAGAGAGTTCCCTCCATTTAAATGAATTCACATTGAAACAGTGTAAGTCGTTTTGATAACCACCACTATATCCACCAAAATAATATATGTCCTTCCCAATTGCAACTGATGAGTAGCCCCGGGTACCTGGTGGTGGGGTACCAGTAGTAGGTTTCTGGTCCCAAGCACCAGTTGGTAAGTGATACACCTCCATCACATCATAGTGTACTCCAGACCCGGCCCCACCCCACATATATAGGTAGTCTTTTACTTTTATTGTGGAGTGGCTATCTCTCCCCACTGGTTGATAGTCTATAAAGAACAAGAGGTACCAGTAACAGAGTAACAGTAATATAGTGATGAGTTAGTTAGAAAAGGACAAAATACAGAGGAGTAAAGTATGTGAGAGAGTAAGAGAGACAAAGAATGAATGAAAGAGATACAAAGAGAAGAGAATAGTGGCCCTCACTTTTAGATGCCATTCTTGCAAAGTACCAGCCCCGCCCAAACCATTCAACCTGCCCAGACCATTCAACCTGCCCAGACCATTCAACCTGCCCAGACCATTCAACAGGGCGTGGTCACTGGTCAAATGAGGCCACACCCAACACATGAAATTCTCTCAGTCAGAAACAGAAAGTTTCTCCTAGCATTAAGGACAGAAAATGATGTACACATCATTTCAGTGGTAGGTAAGGATTGAACTGTTTTGGAATTCTGAAACTAGCTCCTAATAAGCTTACAGAACTCAGTAAAGAATAGTGTACTGGACTACTGGTACTTTGCATAGATATTGTACTTTGTCTCTCAAGACAGCCCCTCCCCTTTTGACATTTGGACTACACTGTACTGACTACATGCTACCGTCAAAGTTAGACCATTGATTTGCATGAGTGGTTCATCTTGTACTTCGTTCAGCCTCTGCTTTCTTCTCTCTCTCTCTCCAGTTATAAAATGATGTGTTCTTAATGATGATTGTAATACCATCATGCTGTCTGTCTCATGGTCAGTGAAAACGATGCATGTACATGTAAGCCCTAATATGGAATTGAAACAGATTTATATGCTAACGGAAATGGATGTATGTACATGTACTGTACCACTGTACATCCATGTACATGTGTATAAGAATAATGTTCATGAGAGAATAGATTGGATGAGAAAATTAAAAATTATGATGAGGAGTAAGAGGGAGGGAGGGAGGGATTTCAGCTTTTGTTTCATGTGCTCCTCCTATTAGCTATACTGCATGGATAGTATTACCTTAATTTGTCTTCATAACATTGTGCATTACTTGATACATGTACACATGTACATGTGATTAATGATGCATCATTATACAGTAGTATGTGCTGCATTTTTACATGTAATGCATGTACATTTTCTGATTTTTAATAATATGCTATGTTAAAAGTTTGAGCTGTTTCTGACAAATAATTTTTACTTATGAGCACTTTTTAAAAGAAAGAGGCCAATTTTTGATAAAGCAAAGGCTATTATAGCCCATGCTTTTTTTCCAAAAATTGACTCCAAAATCACCCCTAATTTATTACATTTCTTGATCCATATTGCTGTCCTTGTGCTATGTATAAGAAAGTTTGAGCTGTTTTTGACAAATAATTTTTTAGAAGTTATGACTGAGCACTTTTTAAAAAATAGGCCAATTTTTTGAAAAAGCAAAGGCTATAGCCTATGATTTTTCTCAAAAATCGCTTCAAATCACCTTCAATTTTTATTGCATTTTCTAATGAATATTGATGTCTTTATAAAGTTTGAGCTGTTTCCAATAAATAGATATGAACAGTTTAAAAAGAGCCAAGTTTTGAGAAAAAGCAAAGGCTATAGAATACTGACAGATCACTCCATGATTATGTCCACATCCTTTCTCTCCTATCCTTAGACTGGCTCATCAACTGGTATAAGACAAGAAGAAGTCCTGGAGAGTTTATTTCAGGAAGGAATAATTACATGTGTGCTGAAATAATTTACATAAGACAAAGAGATAACATTGTTCTCAATGATGGTACTGTGACTCATTGCTTATGCTCCACCCACTTCTTGTTTTTAGATAGCACGTCTTGTGAGGAAGAATGAGAGATTATTGGCGAGGAAGTGACAACCACACACAGCAGCTTAAAAGGAACAAAGAAAGTAAAGGAAAATGGTTTTATTTGTTTAATAAGAAAATTATTAATAATAATAAATTATTGTTAATTTTGTAGTAATAGTCATACAGGGCTCCATTTTCTGACGGAAGCTGTGGTGGTGACATAAAGAGTATAGTAATGGTATGGGCAAGACTGGTGGAGGGACAGGATCTGGTGAGTTAAGGCTCTGTGACAAACAACCTGATACTCAATAATTATTGTATCACCTACATGTATTAGCCTGGTATGTCAAATAATTATCACATGACTACATTTTGATAATTTTCATAGTCAGCTTTTACTAAAGTCACTAAGTCAGACCCATTAATAAGGAGTAAGACACTGTGTCATTTCGTTCTCGGACTAGTCCCAAAGATATGTTAGCTCCTCCCACTAGACCAGTACCAGTATGCTGTTAAGAAAAGAGTGAATATTTAAAGAGAAAAAGATGTCATCTTTTCATTTTGAAAGAGCCTATCATGACTACATGTCTGAATGCATAAGTACAGTACATGTATATGTATGAATGTGTACATGTACATATTTTTCTAATTTTCTAAGTATTGAGCTAAATACTGATATATGACGTACATAAAACAAATGCCTATACTGCCTACAAACCAAGTTGTGCCCCTTAAATATTTTTAATTCCATATACATGTAGATACATTTACAATTAAAATTACAATTAAAATGTCTCGAAGTAAGAACATTGATTAATGAATAATAATGGTAATGTTTTAAGATTGTTAGTAAATGTAATTATATTGTTTGTGGTTGTAGTAACTTCCAGGACATACACTTGTATGCGTAGAAGGTTTGGTTGAAGTAAAATTGAGCTTCACTTTAAAATTTTAACCTACCAACATACTAAAGCAATTTGCCAAATTCTGATATCAATATTTGGACACATACGCACGTGTGTAGTATCCCTACCCTCTAAGGACCTTGATCCTCTCCTCCCTTTACTAGAAGACTGGCAGTCCTATGTATCTAATAGTTCTTTTTTAAAAATCTACTTTCTATTATTGGGTGAAATGAGATTCTTTGCTCTATTTATGCATCAGTTGGTATAATGCTGTCAAGAAATATTGATATAGCATGTCATACCTTTAGTACATATTCGAGCCTCCCACCTTCCTCTTATCGCTTCCCGCTTAGTTTATTCTCTCCGCCCATGCTTCCGCTTTAACTCATGCATATGTGCATACTTGTAGCTGACCCATTGCTGTTCTACATTGAATGCATGCATGGAGGGAGTCACACATACATGTACATACTATGAATTATTATGCCACTTTATTCCACCACAAAGTCATGAGTGTGTTTTGAAAGTTCATACATAGTAACTTGTAGTGTGAAGTAGTAACCTGATAATAGAGAGGATCATCCTTATACCAGCTGCTCCAAATAAGGTTATTAGGAATGTCAATACAAGGAATGCAATACATGTGTAACCAGTTTGATCAGAGTAGAGAATACTGACACTTAAGTCAAGTCTTACTAGGTAGTTGATTTGATTATTGATAAGAATGAGGTGGTTAACTTAAAGTTGCATTTGACTAAATTGTAGATGACATTGTCTATACTAGTGTATTATTACACAACTCTATGTGTACATGTAGGTGTTTTGTAGGAGACTTCTCCATTTTTATAATTTTACCTGATACATATACATGTTCTTATGTTGTGTAGAAAGTTTAAGTTTATTCCGATCAAAATTGGATTTCTTACAAATTTTCAAATTTCCTCAAAAATTGGGCCTTCCCATGCTATGGTCCCAAGACTAAATTTCACCAAAATTTTGAAAAAGAGAATTTTATGTTTTTTTATAATTTTTCCTGATACATATTTATGTTTATATGTTGTGTAGAAAGTATGAGCTGATTCTGATAAAAATTGGATTTTTTTACAAATTTGAAAAGTTCCTCAAAAATTGGGCCAAAGTCCCTGTACTATGGTCCCAGGCCAAATTTTGCCAAAATTGAAAAAAAGAGAATTTTGCTTTTTATAATTTTTCCTCATACATATTAATGTTTTTTATGTTGTGTAGAAAGTTTGAGCTAATTTCAATCAAAATTGGATTTTTTTACGAATTTTCAAAGTTTTTTAAATTTGGGCCAAAGTCCCTGTACTATAGTACAGGGTCATTAGCCAAATTTTGCCAAAAATGACAAGGAGAGAATTCTTTGTTTTTTATAATTTTTTCTGATACACATACATGTTCTTATACTGTGTTGAAAGTTTAAACTGATTCCGATTGAAATTATATTTTTTTGCAAATTTTTTAATTTGCTCAAAAAATTGGACCAAAGTTCCTGTACAGGAACTGACCAACCAAATACAGGGTCTCTGACCAACCAAATTGACACAAAGGACTTTTCTCATTGAAATGTGCATGATAATTTCCAGACATGCAGTCTCTACTAGCTATATGCACAGCCCACTAGCACAAACAAATTATGGAGCTAACAATTTAGCTCTATTAACAAATACATGTACATATAGTCCACAGCACAGTTATTGTATATACATGTAGTTATATGCATGTAGTATATTGAATTTAGTCTATGAAATATTTTCACTCAAGTTCTGGTTCTAGTTATAGTACAACATAAGGCGTTCAAGTTCTGGTTATAGTTCTCTAACTTTAAAAGTTGGGTTTAGTTCTAGCATGGTTTGTACATTTTTTGTTTTTCTTTTGTTTTGGTGAAGCTAATGCATAACTCTCACTATTGATGAACTCTACATGTACATGTAGTTAGTCCTCATGTGTACAGTTCAAGCAGAATTTTGTAATTATGATGTATATCATTGGTAGTATAATTGAGTAGAAAGGAGTGGATTAACTTGTTGTCAGTTTTATCAGTGGTCAGATAATTTATTTTTGTTTTAGGTTTACTATATCAGAACAGCCCACATTAGTCCACTCCTCCAGTTATTGTAATGTTAATGTTATTGTAGAATTTTGTAATTATGACGTATGTCATTTGTAGTATAAATGAGTAGTAATGAGTGGATTATTTTGTTGTCAATTTGGATAATTTAATTTTGGTTTAAGTTATCAGATACAGTCCACATAGTCCACTCCTCCAGTTATTGTAAAGCTACTAAAATTTGTACACCTGATAGAGTAGTCTTTGTGAGGTCAGTCTGGTCACATACTCTTCATTTCTCGGTGCAGACCCATGTTTTAGAGAGACAGTTATGGCTGAAGATGAAGATGACAGGAGCATACGATTCATCCCAGGCAATGAGAACTTTGAAGATATACAATTTATCCCAGGCAATGAGAACTTTGAAGAGATATTTGTCCCAGGCAATGAGAACTTTGTAGGCAATGAGAACTTTATAGGCAATGAAAACACTGAAGGCAATGAGAACACTGAAGGCAATGAGAACACTGAAGGCAATGAGAACTTTGTAGGCAATGAGAACACTGAAGGCAATGAGAACACTGAAGGCAATGAGAACACTGAAGGCAATGAGAACCTTGAAGGTAATGGAGACACCGAAGGCAAGGTGATCAATGACAAAGTTGAAGACAACAATGATAAAAAAGGCAGTGATACTGATTCTAAGGCAAATAGAAAAAAGCCAATCAATATACTAGTGATTGGTCCTACTTTCTCTGGAAAAACAACCCTCATCAATGCTATGTTTGGGGAAGATGTTGTAACTGTTAGTGTTAGTGCAGAATCTCAAACAAGGAAAGTAGAAGCATATGAAGGTGAGCATAATAATGTGAAGATTAAACTTTATGATACGGTTGGTTTTGGGGATACTAGAGGCAAAACTGGCCGCAGTATTATATTTGAAATTGCTGAGCACGGTCAGTTTGATCTAATCCTCATTTGTACCAAGTTAGTGGAACGGGTTGATCGGGATATGTTTGATGAATTGGCCTCCGTCTTACATGCAGATATGTGGAAGAGGACAGTTGTCGTATTAACATTTGCAAACCAATTCGAGACACTCAGGAGTGTAACAGAGTCTAAAAAGGAACTGAAAGTTCAAATGAAAATGCAAGTAAATTCGTGCAAAGGATGTGTTGTTGAATTTCTTTCTAAAAGCGTTAATAAGGAAGTGTTGGATAAAATACCATTCTGTGTAGCCGGAGTGAAAGATGAAAAGAAGTTACCTACAACTGACGACTGGCTGAAAGCATTATGGGCCACAAGTATCAAGCATTCCAGTGACGAAGCACGTCCATTCTTAACGTTTTGTGCGAGGAACCGAGGGATTATTGAAACAGGATCTTTTATTGGGTCTGTTGGTGCTGGAGCTGGTATTGGTGCTGGTATTGGTACTTTTATTGCCCCTGGGGCTGGTACTGCAATAGGAGCTGGTATTGGAGCTGGAGTGGCAGCTGGTGCTTCTCTTGTTGGGATTCTTGTGGGACGCATAATTAAATAATTAAATTTTAAGCAATTGTAACAATTAGAAAAAGAATTATTAGTGAATTCTTGTTGTAACAACTCCTCCTAGTAGTTATTATAGTATTACTAATAATTGTACACCTGAGTAAGCAGTTACTGCCTACTGGAGTCAGATCACAAGGCTGCTGGCAATAATGGCTGCTCCATTGGATGATGTTTCCCAGTCTGAAAGAAATGGATCAAGATATAAAGAAAATTTAAGAGCCTTC